ATAAAAATAAACTATGCATCCTTGACTTAGTCATTACAGACGACAGTTTCTTGTAAAGCGTAATAGGCGTACTTCCTGTTTTGGGGGGAATGATGATTAATTCGGACCTCGATCATCTAATATCATTGTCCTATGGGATTTCAGTAACAGCCGTCCCCAAGTGCCTGTATGGCCGAGAGTAGGGTAGGCCTGCCCTTCCTCTCGAAATGCTCTCACACCGCCACGCGTATACAGCCTCTGCCAGGGGAATCCTGCTCACTACCTTCTCATGGCGTGGGTGTTGTCTACGAAAATGAGAGGACGAAAAGCGAATGTCGGGCGCTTTAACCGGATCCCAAACCAATGGTTCACATGGGCTCCAGTATCCTGAGGGAACAAATGGCGTATGAACCAATTATTGGCCACCGGCTTCCATGGGACTGCATCTCCTTACGATGCTCCACTGCCTTGTGGATCAGACCTTCAGGTCGAAGGCTTGGGGTGTGGCCCCCCAAGAAAACCACCTGCCTCGGTCTGGGCACTCAGGCAGTATCACAGTCACACACAAATTAAGTGAAAATGACGATATTTACTGGAAATTCTATTCTCGCTTCGATTAATAGTCAGACGATTCGCGTTATTATTATTATTGTTATTATTTACTACGTCTTTATTCACTCTCTTTTGTTCCCACTTTATGTATCCTTATTTTTCGACTTATACAGCAGCTCGCCTATGGTGGAAACTCGGTTCTATCTAAACGTTCTCGGGTCACTGCCTGGTTGAAAATTGTATGCTACCACCAAATGCGAATACTGAAGCAGTTTTTCTGAAACCACGTGCACCATTCAAACTGGCTTCCTTCAACGTTCGCACACTTATGCAGGTTGAACAACAGATAGGGCTTGCTATGTCTTTAGAAAGTCTTAATATCGATGTTTGCTGTCTATCCGAGACCCGTATTCAAGACTCTGGTGAATTCGCTCTCCATCTGTCGCTTCGAAAAGCTTGTTTTACGTGCGCTTATCCGAGGACCCTGTGGCATCTTCGTCTGGTCTTGCTGGCGTTGATGTCGCACTAAGCGCTAGGGCTGAGGCAGCACTAATCGATTGGATCCCCATTAACAGTCGGTTATGTGCTGTTAGATTAGAGAGTTCCATCAAAGTGAGAAGAAATCGGCGTGAGAAACAATGTCTTTTCGTCATCTCCGCCTATGCTCCGACAGATTGCAGCCCGGATGCAATCAAGAATGAGTTTTACCACCAGTTATCAGTTCTTCTCCATAAAGTGCGTTCGCCAGATATTGTAGTGCTAGCCGGAGACTTGAATGCTCAGGTCGGGCGTCTAGGCACAGAAGAGAGTCGTTTAGGTGGCCGATGGGGACTCGTTGGTCGCAGGACAGATAACGGGGACCGTCTACTGCAACTGTGCACAGACCACAACCTGTTTCTGGCTAGCACTAACTTTCGGCACAGTCATCGTCGATGTGCCACCTGGCGTCCTCCCTCTGCATCTCAAGCCTGGACTCAGATTGATCACATCGCGATCAGCTACCGCTGGCGTGGTTGTGTACAAGACTGCCGCTTCTTTTGGAGTACCTATCTAGACTTTGATCATGCCCTGGTCTGCGCCAATCTCACCTTACTTTTCAGTGGACAACGAAGTGACCGCCACCAAAGGATTGATGTCAGCAAGTTGGTTGCAACTAAGTATCGAACCGAGCTAGCTTTTTAGACTAGCTACCATTCCACCGAAAGGTATATATGAGCATTGGTTACAACTGTATGACGTCATCAAAATGGCGAATAAGGCCGTGTGAGCGAAACAATCTGCGAGGATGACGGGATGCCAATCACTAACATCCATCGACGTCTTGGACGATGGGCAGAATTTTTCGAAGGGCAGTTCAACTGGCCTGCTGCTCCGGCAACGTCGGTCAGACTGTCCTGCCCTCCATGGCCGGTGACGACTGATCCACCAAATGAGGAGGAAGTCCGCAAGGAACTCCAACTCTTGAAGCGTTACAAATCACCTGGCCCAGATGACTTACCTCCGGCTCTTTTTAAAGATGGTGGTGACTTTTTGACTAAGGAATTGACGACGTTGTTTACAAAGGTTTGGGAACTAGAGAGTGTACCAACGTCATGGAATGAGTCGATAGTTGTCCCTATCTTTAAAAAGGGTTCACGTCGTTCCTGTAACAACTATCGGGGGATAAGTTTACTTCCGATTGCGTCCAAGCTATTGGCTTCCGTCATTCTTCGTAGGTTGTTCAAAACCCGAGAAAGATTGACTCGCGAGGAGCAGGCTGGGTTTCGTTCTGGTCGAGGATGTATTGATCATATCTTCACCCTCCGCCAAATGTTAGAACACCGCCATACTTTCAAAGGCCAACAATCGTAGTGTTTCTTGACATCAGGGCTGCCTTCGATTCGTTGGACAGGACTGTTCTCTGGGATTGTCTATTGAAGAAGGGTGTGCCTGAGAAGTTTATTAACATCCTAAAAGCCCTGTATAAAAACACCTCAGGCAGAGTGAGGGCATACAACCACCTCTCTCCATTGTTCCATTCGAGCAGTGGGGTTAGGCAGGGTTGCCCAATCTCACCATTCCTCTTCAACTTTGCCATCGATGACATTCTGGAAACAGCTCTGATGAATGTAAGTAATGGTGGTGTGGATCTGTTGCCTGGAGAAAGACTTCTCGACCTTGAGTATGCGGACGATATTGTCTTACTGTGCGATAATGCCCAAGGCATGCAATCCGCACTTAATCAGTTGGCAATCAGTGTCCGTAGGTATGGTATGTGCTTTGCACCTTCGAAGTGCAAAGTACTTCTACAAGACTGGCAGGATTCTAATCCTGTACTCACCCTGGACGGTGAGCAGATAGACGTAGTTGAGAAGTTCGTGTATCTGGGTAGCTGCATAAGTGCTGGTGGGGGTGTGAGTGATGAGATCAATGCACGAATAGTGAAAGCCAGAGCGGCTTATGCCAATCTGGGCCACCTTTGGCGCCTTCGTGATGTTAGTCTGGCTGTAAAAGGTCGGATCTACAACGCGTCGGTGAGAGCAGTTTTGCTCTATGCTTGTGAAACCTGGCCTCTCCGAGTTGAGGACGTTAGACGACTCTCTGTGTTCGATCATCGCTGTCTCCGAAGGATTGCTGACATTCAGTGGCAACACCATGTCAGTAATGCAGAGGTTCGGCATCGTGTGTTCGGGCACAGAGATGATAATTCAATTGGTGTCACCATCTTGAAACACCGACTTCGGTGGCTTGGACATGTTCTCCGAATGTCGTCCCAGAGAATTCCACGTCGTGCATTATTTGCCGACTCTGGGACTGGTTGGAAAAAGCGGAGAGGTGGTCAGTGCATGACATGGTGTCGTGGTATGAAAGAAAGCTGCAAAGGACTGGCTTGTGTTGGTCCTTCACGACTCCCTGGTTGGGGTCTGAGAGATGGTGCTACACAGTGGCTAGAGACGTTATCAGATATGGCTCAGAATAGAAGCCAGTGGCGATCCTGCTGTAACCTTCTTTACTTCTTCATAAAAAGTGGTTGTATCTTCCATAACTGAAGGATTTCTTCTGATTGTACCTTTTCGTTTCCCCCACTATTATTATCACACTGCCTTACACTAGTCTGGTCTTCATTGTTCTTTTTTTTCTTTTACGCTCTTGCCTTCTTTTTTCTCTCCCCATTCATTGTTTTGTGTGGCGCATATATATTTGGTGCCCTCTTGTACCAATATTTATGTGTTCAAATAAATAAATATAATAAATCAGTAACAGCCTGAATGGGTCAGTGGTATTATTTCATTAGAGATCAGTATTTCAGTGAACTCAATCAGAGACTTAATATTTCATCAAATTTTGTAACATTGAAACCAATATGTCCTATTTTGAAAGTCTACATATATTGTGGTGTGTGCTACTGATACCGACAGATATAAGTAGTATGTATCATCGATCGAAAGTGAAATGCATTCAGGCAGAAGGTTAAGAAGATCAAAGAAAAAAGAATGAGAACAAAGAATGATTTGTGTGGAACCTAAAGAACAACGAAGTCTGAAACGAGTGACATTTTGCAACTGAAGTATTTACTGTTTATTTCTCAGATTTTACTAATATGTTCTGTAGTTTTGTATGCAAATACATTTGATTGTCCCCACTTGTGTTCTCGTTCACTACAATATTCTAAAATCATTTCTTATGATTGATAATTAGTTTAGTAGATTTAACAGACAATTGTTTTTAACCTCATTGCCATCCGTTGTTTAGTATAATGAAGTACAACCCAATCACTCAATGATCAATCAATGTAAATGTTTTCTTCTTGAGTTATTGATTTCGTATCAATGTAATCAAAAATGTGATTATAGAGTTTTCGTATGTCAGTTATGTAAGCAGTGATAGTATATCAGATGGGAATAAGTTAATAGGCAAAGGTTTGTATTTATAATTTTTCATAGTTTTCAATATCAGCAGTGGGAAAATACCAAATCCTTACAACTAAACTTCATACTTATTGAACAGGTTAGTAGCTCGTCAGACGTATTAGCTCAGTAAATAACTTGTGCTGGGATCTAAAGTGATAGGTGCTGGGTTCGAACTTTTTCTATACTTTACAAAAATGTAATAAACAGTGTTTACATTTATTCCACGGTATTAATCTTTTTCCGGATTTCACAGTGTTAGGTATTGGTATATTCAATCAAAATTAACCTTTTTAAAAATAATGGTTGCTCAGTATTTAAGACATGTAATGTACAACCATTGAGTTACTTGTTCGAATCCCGCACCATCTGACTGGTTGGGTAGTATCACTAGCTTTCTCACTAAGAGGTGTAGGTCACTGTCTAGTATTCAAGTCTATACTATGTTGCTAAATTGTATTAAGGTATCAGATAACGCTTATCAGCTTGTCAGACTTAAAATTATCTCAGTTTTTGATATCCATATTATATTAGCGCATCTGAGATTTAATTTCGTCTGTTTTTTTGGGGGAAAAATGTCAGTTTTACAGGTTACCCGAGATGATGATAAAAATAGAATTCGTAAAGCATATCATGAAATGGCAAGAAAACATCATCCAGATAGACAGAAAACATCTGAGGATAAAATAAAAGCGGAAGAACGCTTCCGTTTAATCAACACTGCCTATGAGGTATGTTTAATAAGTAATTTAAAAAATTATATTTAAACTTTGCTAATCTAAAGAAGCACTGAATTGTTTAAAGGATCTTTGAACTCCAACCATGTTAAGAGTGAAACATTTAGAAGCGAGTGGTACTTGACGATGTCGCGTTGTGTAACACCGATTAGTTGAATTTGGGAATATGGCCCATTGAATTCCAACTTCCCGGTCTAAAGTCAACATGTTTGCTACTGCATCTTTGGCCTAAGTTATGGATGTCCACTCCCGAAGAGAGTTAAACCAAAACAAAACAACGTTCTGTTAGTTTCTGTTTTCCCATGGTTCCCTAACTAAATCAATATGTGGCAAGAACAAACTTAAACACTGTATGATGATATCGTAGTTTATGCTCTTCAAAAGTCTGTCTCACGATTCTTCCATCATTTTGGAACATCAAAATGTTTACATTTATACCTTCATGAGTACATCTGATTCACTGCAACCGATTTCGACGCATGATACCTAAAGTCTTTTTCTCATAGAATACGATTGTTTCCACTCACAAGTTTCTGACTTCTTGGAATCATGTGATGTATAAGACATATTAAACGGGCTTTAATGAACAAAAGGTTTATATTATCACCAACTAATTAACCATCTTCATGAAATACCCAAAACCTCATCTCAACTGTACTCACAATAGTGAAATATTCAAAGCATCATTAAATTAATATAATTTACATTCATATTATTTCAACCTAAACCATAAGTAACTTACGGAATATAATTAATATTTTCCACTTGTTTATTTAAAAAAATCATTTTTCCCCTATTATTTCAGATTCTTAGTGATCCAGAACAACGAACAGAATACGATTATATGCTTGATAATCCAGATCAAATGTACTATCATTACTATCGGTATTATCGACGTCGTGTTTCGACAAAAGTTGATGTTCGATTGGTAATTATATCAATTCTTCTTATTATATCATCGATACAAGTAAGTTTTATTATTACTGTTGTATTAGAAATGTGTTTGAGATGTGATTATTATAATTATTTGTAAGGGATTTGCATGTTTGCTACCCACCTCCAGCTATTACCTCGATGTATAGTGGTGGGGCTTGGATATCGTGGTGTTTTAATTGAGCTATATTGACTGGAATATTTGTTCCAATAAATCCTACCATCTCAGGTAAGTTGCTTAGAGAGCTTTAGAACTAAAAGCATTAAACTCGTCGTCTAAGTGTCAAGTTGTACTACTGACTGTACGGAGGCGTGACAACAGTTCAGTGGTCCCTCTAAACAATCATCATCTGGGGTGATACTGTCTTTCCACAACTAAAGGAGCTAGCTAGAGAAGGTTGATCCTAAAAATGGCCGTAAATTGTTAAAAAATACAGAGGTAACAAGTAAAAGTACCGACAAAAAGTGTGTGTGCGACCGGTCTCAAGCAGTTGGTGATTGTTTTACTTCTCTTTCCGACCGACGACTGTACAGAATATGCGTATTCAAAATCCATTCTCGTGTTGGACTTATTTAATTCCGTTATCCGCTAGCACGATTTTTGGGTCGTTGACTATATACGAGAATTGTCGACATGTTTATTTCAATAACGGTAATCACATGACCGAACTGGAGTCAGATCTTGGGCCATTAAATACTCTCAGGTCGTCAATACTGCCTCTAACTTAGTTTTTTTATTAAGTCCCTCAGAAAGTATTATTCCACAATGTAAGCGCTCGAGAATTTATAACCCCCTTTATACCTATAACAGCCCTAGAAACCACCTCGTTTACAAATAAACATCATCTTAATTACGTAATATTTCTTGCAACTGTATCTTTATTATTATGACTCACAGTTGTATCTTTTAAAACCAATGGTTATTGGGTTCACATCTAAGTGTGAACATCATCAGTATCCGTGTACATTCAGCATATTTATTTGTTTCCCTTTCTTCCTCTCTTGACCTGTTGGTTGTGCATATATGGAAAAAATGAGGGTGTTTATAGAGTTATACATGACCCTGGGCTTCTTTAAATTCATTGAACCGTACTAAATATAGTAGCAGTATAGGTAAATATTCAATCAAAACCACAACACGTGATTCTACATTTTCTAGATGTTTCTGCGAAGCTCCTGCCCAACGGCGACTGACTCAGACGTTTCCTCGTGTTTCTGGGTCTTTAGAGATTTTGACGAAGGATATTTTAGGGCTCTTCCAAGAATTTCCACCGTAGTAAATCTGTTATAATGTTCAATAAATCTGACGTAAGTCCCCATGTTTTCAAATCAAAAGGCGGAACTGCTGACTAAAAGAATATATTTTCTGTCCTAATAAACTAACATGCTTATATGCAAAGTATTTAACACAATAATTGAATTCAAAACAGATTTATTTTCAACAGATAAAGGTGATAATCTGGTCCAATCAGATAGACCAAATAATGTTAGAAACGCTACTGGTCAATTTCTGAGGAAACAGGCATGCACTATTGATTGAAACGTGGTTTAATTTTTTGAGTAAAATGTTTCTATATTTATGAATGACCAAAATGGGGACTTGTGGAGACGGTAGTAATTTAAATTATAAAAATTATGAGTCGATCTAAGCTAGACCAGCATTGGAAACTTGGAAGCACTGGACGACCGTCTCGTCGTAGTATAAGACTACTCAGCGGCGCGCACCCATGACCAGCACGCGAGACTCGAAACCAGGACCTTCGGCCTCACACGCGAATGCTTAACTTCCAGACCATTGAACCGGCATCCAATAGTGTTAATGTCTAACTCCAATCGGTTCATGATCTTGAGCAACCCTTCATCCATTGTTTGAGGTGGAGACTGAAGGTACTGGGTTCGCGTCTCGCATGTGGGGTCGTAGATTTGCACAGCTGAGGAGCCCCATACTAGGAAGAAACAGCCGTTTAGTGCTTCCAGGTTTGCAGTGATTATCTAGATTAGATCGGCTCACGAATTCAACTACTAAAATTTATGAGTGACTTGTGCATAACATTATCGATTCAGTTAACGAATAAAAGCTCTCTACTCACTCTTGATTTTCTCATTCAGGTAACTGGTTTTGGAATACATATGTGAAGTGTATATGTAAGTATCAGACTCGGACCACCTCACAACATAATAGGAGTAAACACGGTTAACAGTTAATAAATAAATGATTAGAGGTTATAGTAATGATGGATCATTTACTGTCTATTGTAATGAATGTCTAACTATCAGGGTTAATTCTTACTCTGTCATATCAGTTCGTTCACTGATTATTCCTCTTTTTTCTGAGAAAAAATGCTTACAACTTTGCTGTTTATATTTCTTTTAGTATGCTGGTCAATGGACAAGTTATAATCATGCATTAAGTTATTTACTGAAAGATCCAAAGCATCGTGCCAAAGCAAAACAGATAGCTATTGCTGATGGTCGTTTAAATATATCCAAATATGAAGTTGGCAGACGTTTAACACGTGATGAACTGAAAGAACGTGAGGAACAACTACTTCGGGATATATTAAAGGAGACTGTTGAACTTCGGTAAATAAATTGGAAGTGGTTAGTTTTCAGTGTATCTAATGCACTTTTGGATGCTTCGCTTTTTCTTTTTTTTTCTTGTTTCTTGGATTCGTAACGGTTGTTTTGCAGGTATTTTCTTCTTTCCATGCGTAATACGTATCACTTTTAATGGGTTTCAATATATGCATGTTTGTATTCATATTTTGCACAAATTCCTATCTTTTTTCGTGTTTTTTATTCCCATCATGCACTTGGTGGTAGTGGTTGTATACAAGTGGTCAAGTGAGAGTATTTGAGAGGGAGAGCGGACTCCTCACCCTTGGCCGTACCACGACATTTGGCGACAGCAATGATACAACCCTGTATCACAACCCATGCGAGTACATTTTCGACGTCCGCGATAAACAAGAAAGTTTATAAATATTTTCCTTTAGCATCTGAGAAATATATTTGTAATCTGTTGTAATATTACACCAAACAGGCTTGATACAGAATGAAGCTGTCTATTTCTGGATCCGTGTTTTTCTATTATTTTTAACCGAATCTATCTGGCGAAGCTAATGAAGGACTTTTACCATTGACTTGATTGAAAATTACAGTTTCTGATAACAATAGTTGGTTTAAGTGTAACCCCATAAATTAACAAATCATTTCCATATGTTTCCATCTTAATTATCAACATTCTTGGCTGAAGTACGCGATTTGCATAAAGTAAACTTCATAATAATGATACACTTGACACAGGTAAATTCGATAGAAGATAATGACATTGGCTTGATGAAAATGGTGACTATGTTGACAGTAGATAATTAAATTTTGAAAATTTAATGTTCAGAATCCCAAGATAAAGATGCTATTGTATTTTAGTGAAAGAAAATTAGTGATCTGAACACTTATAGGATATTTTGAGGAGCAAGTAGACTGATATTGGCAGCTCAACTTATCAGTGCCTCAGATTAAAAATTTTCCACCTATTATCTGCAACTATCCAAAAATCCATAAACCAAATATCCTTCTATGGTTTATATTTTTAATAATTAATTTCAGTTTTTTATCAGATAGCTCATTAGTTAGCAGAGAAATTAAAGCTTATCACGGACTGAAGAAAGAACATTTTAATCTTTGAGAGAGCTGTATTTTAACACTTGTTAAACCTCATATCCGTGAGATTTTATTGTGATATGAAGGTTTTAGCTTGTTTGCTCCCTTTGAATTGAATGTGGTTTAAATGTGTAGGGTTGTAGCGTGGCGTCGAGTCACCGTTGACTATGATCACCCACTGCACTGAAACTACTTCGTAGGTGAAAAACTAGAAGGCGGTTGACGGTTGTATTAAGATATATTTGTTGGTAATCTCGTGGTATCGAAAGAATACCGAGATCATACCAAACAGTACAAGTTGAACTACTGAACATAACCGAGAGCGTTCAAGGTCATAGTCAACGAAAGAAAGTATGTTTTTAGTACAGTTAAACAAACAAGTACAGTAAAACAATCACTGGTACAATTGGTTATAATAATAAGTGTTTCCATTATACCAATCGTGTTCTCTTGATAAAAGTAGGTAGCTTGTTTGCTCTCTCTGAGTTGAATGTGGTTTAAATGTATTAAGATGACAATTAACTGATAAAAGCTTACTAGTTAGTGATCATAAATAAAATTCTCTTTACACATTTAAACAAATGCATAAAATTCATATTGTTTTGTATGTAGATATGGCGAGTAATTGCTTAATCGTTTGGAATGCAAATATCATATGAAATTGACTTTTTTTTTATCGTGTGTACTATTCGTTCACATCTTAAGAGAATTAAATATAACTCAGTTCAATTTAGAAAAATCTGACCGTTAATCTAACTGTAGCGATGGTGTATTCCTAAATCATATTTAATTAATTTTTGGAGTCCAATCGATACTTATCACCAGTTTTTTTTTCTTGATTTTACACTTTGAACTTTTTCTCTTGTACTCAAGTTGCATTATCGATTCAACCTGAGGTTATTTAAAATTATTAGAAATCGGATTTAGCGTTCAATTAATAGATTTATCAATACTCAATTTATATATATATAAAGTAATAATGATCATTGATTATTAATCTTATGAAACTTAACCAAATAACATGAATTTAAGTTCATTCAATTATTATCGCCGTAATAGATATTATCTTCCAGAAAGATTATCAATTAGCCGTAGTCAATTTAAGACCTTAATGCAGTCCAGATGGCCACACGTCACTTCATCCACGCAAAGGACTAATGTCCTCAACAGCAATAAAAATCTCCAAATATAAGAAATATACCATCTTAAAGAAGCATAAGATGAAGTAATAAAAAGAGTGGAAAATGAAATAATACATAATCTAAAGATTAATAAATACTACCACATCTTCATGTTGTCTTTATGTCACCCAATATATCTAATAATAGATAATGACAACAAGGATGTCTACATGGCTCAATTCAACAGTTAAAGTTCTCATGGATTGTCCAATTCTAAGATTTCCTCAACTGTCTATTAATAGTAACATGGCACGTCAAAGTAGGAGTGGATGGGCTTATGTAACAAATATTACCTAACTACTTTAGTCAGCGAAAGTTTTTAGCTTCTTCAATCGACTCTGTCCTTTTACCTAGTATCCCCTACGTGTAACCATAGTAATGCTCACTTACGAATAATATCTCAAAGATACCTATGACCAGTTACTTTAAGCCTACTCCTGTTTTCTCTTTTCAGCTCACATTTTATGTCACAGCAAATTGCATCGTACATAAAAGTTAGTAAAAAGATAGAATATGGTTAAGTATAAAATGTTCTATTTTTACATCTACACAGATTTGAGGTACAATGTTTTTCATTCATAACGTTCAAATGCCGTGGTACGACCGAGAGTGTGAAGAGTTAGCTCTTCCTCTCCAAATTCTCTCACATGGCCACGCGTGTACAGCCTCTGCCAGGGACGTTCTACTCACTGCCTTCTCGTATTTTAATAAATTAGAATTTTATTTTGCAGTGATCTGATTAGGAACCCCTTTAGTTTGACTCTTGTTTTATCCAACATCAGATTTGATGGTACAGGAGATACATACTGTATATTTTAAAGTGTGAATCTGTCGCTCAGTGGTTGTTAAGATGATTAGTTTTAATCATTATTCTGATAGTTAGTTTTCTTACCGTTTTGATGAAATGATCCAACGAATTGAAACCTATTAGTTTTCTATTCTAGATCTTCTGATGTTCTAGTCAGTTATTCGTTTCGTTTTTCATTTAATTTTCAATGTTATTTCCTCATCAAAGCTTCAAAAGCACGATTAAGTGACTTGTCAAATCTGACAAATCAAAACTCAAGACTGTCTGTAAAGATGGCACTATAATTACGGAACTATATAATATCTCTACAGTATTTACTAAGCTCGTGGACGATCATAAAAATGCTTATTAAAATGGATATGTGAAGTCATAACAACATACGTTATGTGACAGCTAATAGCTGTGTCGAGATCATAATGGCAGATGATGTCAAAATGAGAATAGAATCAAAATATAGAAACTGTTATCATAAAGCAAAATTCGAAAATATCTGTTGCAAGTATTAAGAGGATACAATTAAAATATTAAAGTGAATATTGTCAACGTGTGTCCATACTCACGAATGTTATGACGACATATAAGTTGCTTTTTTTAGATGGTAGTTGGAGGTAGTCAACAGGAAACCCTGGACCCGGGTTTCCTGTTGACTACCTCCAACTACCATCTAAATATCAATACATAGTGCCCGCGGTGTCGAGTCACCTAGACTGGTGGCCACATTGCAACATGATCGATAGCATTCGATCTGCACTAATAAGGACTAGACAAGCATGACATTGATCACCACCCAGTGATCAATCAATTGTGACATATACGTTGCACCATATGCTCAAAAGTTATCAGAAATGAAACGGGTTACTGAATATTAATAAGTAGTATAAAGCGATGCACAGAAGGAAGTAGAGTGATAAAACAAACCTAACACTATATTTTTATTGGTGAGCACATTTTTCCCCGTTAAATTGGTCACTCACAGGAGAGTTTCTTTTCTTTTTTTCTTTTGTATTTCATTTCAGAGGTGATTGTTGTCGACCCAGCCTAAAACGTGTTCTACTGGTTAGAATATTGTTTTTCCCTTGGACTTGTTATATATGGTTACGTTGGATGCTTTATTGGGTTGTAAAGTATTGGATACTTCGTAGGGAATATGACGAAGAGGCACGGATATTTATCACTAGACGTCGGTTAAAAATAAGTGAGAGTGAATGGGATTATGCAGGCGAAGAACAACAAGCAAAGTATTTATCACAAAAACTTTGGATTAATGAGAATTATCAGGTTTGTAGTTTTTCCTAATTCAATGTGCTATTGATTTGTTACCTAAATAAGTCGAATGAGGATTTTTGGTGTACAGTGTGTTGGACGAGTGTACGTTGTATGTTCGTCATCATAATCAGTGAACCGATAGCTTAGTGGTCGAAACAGTCAGCTTCAAACTAGTAGTTCATAATGAGTCAAACATCGGTACATCTATTCGAGTCAATACACCATATATCAAGACAGATACTAGAGTAGTAGAAGTAGTATCATTATGAGTGGGAATTCGAACAGAAAGAAAGAATTGCTGGAATGGAAAAAGAAAACGACAATTCCAAATCTCGTAATCTAATATGGGATAGAAAATGAATAAATTTGTGCCATCGCGATCAATTCTAAACCTTGTCATCTAAAGTCCTCTAATCACTCATTGTAATAATTTCGCAGGCATCAATATGGTAGTCTTCACCTACCAACACATTCCAATCTAGTAGTCACTAACTTCATAGACTGATGTCATATCTTGGTTTGGCAGCCCTTAGATCACACACCTGTACCCCACTATTCTCGTGTTTTGTTTTTTATAAACAGACTGTATTATTAGTTGTTCCACACAAGACATGTGACTAAAAAGCGAGTGTATAGATCTATATTTGGTAAATGATTTATATCGTTGTAGGCATTCAGTGTGTTAAGCCCTTACCCTAGTCTCAAGTTTTCTATCCATGTGGAAGCATTTATTTTCCTGGATTATTGTCTAGCTCCATATTTTTTAATCCAATGGCCACTGACCACTGTTCCGATTGAGCTAATTAAGCGGAGTATCTATTGAATGGTTCCTAATTTCCTTGTCAAACAAGAGATGCACTGTGGTTAGTAATCCAAGTGAATAATAGCTGTTGGTGAAGGTTTTTCGGAAGCAGCTAATGGGAATTGAAATTCAATAGACATTTTATATCGCTTTTGCAGTGTTCGCGAAAGTAGTCATGATGCACAGAAATACTAAATTAGACGTGCACACGAAGATTACTATCTTTTGTACAAGGATAATGTTTTTTGGACAGGCTCTTTTCGTCACCCTAGCTTCCTGATAAACTCGCACTTGTTAATCAACAGATAAGAAATATTTAATTCTGACCTGTCAAATTATTTGAGTCAAATGTTTTTTGTCATTGTCAAAAACCAAGATGGACTTCTGTGTAAAAAGCCAGCGGAAAGTGTGCGTTCGGTTTTTCATTAATAAGAGCATAGTAGGTCAGTTGGCTACTTGTGTTAACATCTGTGTTTTTCTACTTGTTTTAAGTTCTAGAATAAGTCTCTTTGTAGTGAACTAGGTTCTCCTTAGAAGAGTTTATTGATGCGACTGATCCTACTTACTTCTTGACATGTTTCATTCGTTGATCATTCATTATTTTTAAAACTATTTCATGGTTGACACGCATAATGTTCAGTCTTAGAATGAATAAAAACCGTCTAATGCTAAATTCTATAACTAATCACATGTTTTATTTAAACACATAAACATTGGTACAAAGTGCTTTCAAAATGTATATGTACTACACGAAGTTGTTGACATTCAATTTTTCTGTACTGTCCGAGTTCTCGAACCAAAACAAGTGGTTTTCTTAGGAAGCCCACTCCCCGAGCCTTTGACCTAGAGGTCTAATCCTTAAATCAGTGAAGCAGCGTTAGGAGATGCAGTCCCATGGAAGCAGGCGACTAACAATAAGCTCATACGCCATTTTTCCTATGGGCTCATGTGCACCATTTGTTTCGAATCAGAGTTTTGCAACTCCTCTAGGTGGATTCTCTGTCCCCAACAACTCGGCTTAAGCTTGGAACATCCGCTTTTCGGTCTTTCAATAGTGTAAACTACACACCGTCCATGAGAAGGCAGTAAGTAAGTCTTCCCTGGTAGTGGTTGTATATGCATGGTCATGCTAGAGCATTGTTAGAGGAGGAGCTGACTTTCCTCACCCGCAGTTTTACATAGATACATATTTAAATCTTAAAAAAAATAACTTTTAAAATCCATTTCAGAAATTTCTTGCAGATCAACAAGAAGCAAATCGAATTCGAGCAGCTGAAGATACTGATTTAAAACGTTATAGACGATACACAAAACGTGCTGGACCTGCCTCAGTGAATCTTGAAGATTTATTTTAAAATCCCCGCCATTCAAACTGAATATTAATTGTCCAATGTCCTTGTCGATCCTGCCATAGTCCCGTTCTATGTATTATATATATATATATATATATATATATATATATATATATCGAGTGGCCGATCATTTGTTATTATGTATCTATAGTACACAGTTTTCTTTCACCAGGTTGTTTTGTGTATACATAAAAGAGCAGTAGGTGATTTTCATTCCACACTCTTAATCATACTCTCCTTCTTCTCCACAGTCGAAATCTTTTATTACCCTACCCGTATTTTGTTTTATTTGATTAAACCACCGAGCTTAATTTCTAAAAAAATTACGTATGGCTTGTGAACTCAGTCGTAGGTTCATTTCTTATCAAACTTATGCTCTGTCTCTCACTCTGTTATGTATGTGCCTTAAATTTTGATTTACTATTGAACATTTTCAATCCTACAATTAGTAATTATGGTTTGTATTGCTTAATCAAAGTTTGTATAAATAAATTACTATTTAGCAGATTTATACATTTTCTATTTTTAGTGGAATTAGTTTATTGTCTTTTATGAGCATATGCTTCCCATCGTAATTTGTCATGGATGTAAATCAATGTGTTTTGTTGCTTCTCACGATTATTGTCTTATCTGTTCAGTGTTATAACTAGTTTTTTTTTCCTTAAATAAATTGATAACTGGGATTATGTACTATGCTAGTTATGATGATTCTACAAAGTAACATGAATAATACTAATTCAAATGAGTATTTATAATACAAGATAAGTGAAATCGGTTCTCTAAAATATTATCGATCGAAAGTATTTCTCTGCTGACTTTAGTTAGTGAATTACTTCTGAAATTCGGAGGTAATAAACGTTAATTATATGTTTACAATTTAAGCGATGCTTATTTTCAGGCGAATTTCGACTCATCCTCCAAGCACTTGGCTTTAAGCTATACTCGATGTGTGAAGGCTAGTAATACTATCAAATTTCCCAAATGAAAGCAGGTAAAGTGAGATTCTAACTTTGGACTTAGTAGCTGAAAGTCGAAAGCCTTAACCATTACTACACCGCTCCACCATTTAGTCAATCCTGTGTTGAAAATAGTGACATTAAAGTAGAGATTTAAATTAGCCACCCACTATCGAAATAGAACATGGTACAAATATACATCAGCTCACATTGTTAAACCTTATAACACCATAACACGCGAAAATTTAGAAAAGTGAATGTTGTAACGTGTGGATTGCAGGTTTTGATAAGCAGCGTATTTATCGATCGAATCAGTGACACGTAAGGACGACCGAGAGTCTCGATTGGCCCCGCTTCCCTGTCTAGCCCAGCCAGTTGAGTCTAGAACGCAAGTCGTTAAGAGTAGAGGATATTCATAGGTTACTAGTATTCGATCATAGGCGTCTTCGAAACATTGCTCGTATATCCTGGGACCATCCAGTAAGTAACGCAGTTGTTAGGAAACGAGTACTAGGTAAGGATGGCAAATCAATTGATGAAGCAGTGAAACTTCATCAGTTGAGATGGCTAGGACACGTGTTACGTATGCCCAACGACCGACTACCTCGACGTGCTTGTTCAGTGGTATAGGAGTAGGTTAGAAGAAAGCTAGAGGCGGCCAAACCAAAACATGGCACAAATCCATGAAGTCACTGACACGTGGACTCAGTCATGTTGATAGGTGTAGACTACCTGGTTGGGGACCACGAGATGATAGCAACCGATGGTTAGACCCTGAATGACATGGCTCAAAATCGTTTGCAATGGCGCAGGTGCATCCACTCTCTGTGTTCTCCCAAATTCTAATATTCTGAATTCTTCATGTCCTTTATTTTCTTTCCAAATTTATTTCACTGGATTATACTCTTTAAATAACATCTCCAAACCCTAATCTTCCCGATTACTGCTTATACTCTTACCACCTCTACCACTACGGATCTGAATCGACAACTGCATCTCTGTGCTAATGTGGTGTGGCAACTCGAACTGATGTACGTACGTACGAAGTCCTACGTTGTTACTGACTGGCTGACTGAGAACGCAAGTCACAGCCTCTGAGTTATGAATCGTTATATTTCAAACATACTCTTTATATACCAACCAAACAGACCATATCGTACCATAAAATAGAAAACAATATTGAACGAGTGAAATAAATAATGGCCAATAGGGAATACCCATTTAGAGTCCAAGGACATCATTAGACTTAACATGATAATGATTGGTATATTCCTCAGCATCCCTAACAGTGAAGGACACGGGAGATATTTAAAAATTTAGTGAACCTGGATTATTCAATTGGAATAACATCATGATCCATTCTGCCTCTTAGAAGGTTAATTATGTTCGGAATAGTATTGAGTAACACCGGATTTTTCTGAGCTTCTTTTGAGGTTGTTTGTAAGCTGGGGATTACTTCCATTTCTTTCTAAATAGACAATAACAAATCACTTTCATATTTTATGAACTTTACTAAGTCCGATCTCTAAATTATTCGACAAATATATGCTAGTCTCTCTGAAGTGCTATGTTGTGAATTACATAATCGGTATAGTCATTGGTGTGCGGAGACGCTTTTTGCAACTGTACGTGGTAGTAGCTCATGTCTGATTTATCATTTTGGGGAATATAATTAGTTAAATCATTCTTCTCTCTACTTGTTAGTGATGAATGAAAACAAAATACTAAGAAACAAATTGATTCTTGGTGTTACTGGCAGTGTTGCTGCAATCAAAATACCATGTTTAATAGAAAAACTTCTAGAAATAGGATTTGAAGTTCGTCTAGTTGTTACAGACAATTCACTTAACTTTTTTTCAGTAGACACTGTAAGTGTCCCTGTGTACAAAGACATAGACGAATGGACAAGATGGAAAAAACGTGGTGATCCTGTGTTACATATTGAGGTATGAATTTATGATTATTTGATTCTAATGACTTTATTATTATAGCTTAGAAATTGGGCAGATATACTACTAGTAGCTCCACTGAGTGCTAATACAATGGCAAAGGTGGCGTATGGACTAGCTGATAATCTACTTACAACACTTGTACGTGCATGGTGGTTTCCCAATGAACAAAACATTATCAATAAACCAGTATATTTTGCTCCTGCTATGAATACTTTAATGTGGCAGCATCCATTTACTCATGAACAAATCGAACGTCTAGTTGGTAGACTTCATTGGAAATGCATAGATCCTGTTCAGAAGACGTTAATTTGTGGAGAGACTGGTATTGGGGCAATGGCAGAAGTCAGTGATATTGTGAATTGTTTAAAACAAGAACTAAATAAAAACTTGTTTTAATTGGATCGTTATAAAATATCGATAGAATTATATTATAGGAATGATCCAGTGAGAGTCAAGAAAATGACTATCAGGTTTTTTACGCTAAATCTCAAAATGGATGACTTTTGACTTACCTCGAGTAAAATGAACAGTTTAAGTAGTTTTTTATTGTGCTCAGAAAGTTTAGAGTGGCTAGTGAAAACTTTTGTAATCAGAGTAAAAGTAATAGTGTCAAACGTATAGAGAACTCACAGATTTACACATAAACTTTGTGGTAAACCCAGAAATTGTTTTGTTAGTGCCTCATCGAATAAAGGGCGACCTAGTGAATCAGGAATGTTGAAATAGATCACTATTTTTACTCATGACTTCATATTGATATAGAGACAAAGATTGTACTCTTATAGTTGTCTCTTCGGAATTCTTCATCGGATTTATTAATAAGGATTTCATAGGCGATGATAAGTTTTCTAAGAAGTTTGCAGGTTTAAGAATGATTTAGTAAGAAATCGTCATTATGAATAAATTAATACTTAGATTGATGATGTTATGTTGCGATATTTCTGAATTCTTAAATCGAAAAGTTGATAATAAACCTTAGAAAACCAATTCTTTAACCACTTAACTGTAATGTTTCATCATTTCTGTTGCGAAATGTTTGTGATATCTGTAAACTCTGCTCAGTCCCTGGAAGTGAATTTATAATCATATGGTCATTTTCAACTTCTCTCATGCTTGTCTATAGATGATACTTTCGTCAAAACATTTATTGACTTAGGCACAAAGTAAAGTTTATTTTTAAGGTGATTCAATCAAAAAGGACTAAATAATGCAGGATTTGACTCGAATATTGAACATTTTAAGCTGGTACACTTAACATCACTTCATCAGTATCAAGTTAATAAGCGAGAAAAGCTTACTTAAGTGTTTACTGCTAGAAATTACTGAGATAAATAATCATGAAAGCTGAAACTTGGAGTTCGCCAATGACATACAGTAATGTTAGGGAGGTTCCCTGATATGATAATGAGCAGCTTATTAAAGGTTTGTGAAGTTACAGATTCGTAACTTAAGAGTGCTGAAGAACCTGGATTAGGGTTTTAACTGCACATAGGGATTTATTTATTAATTTACTAAATGTTGTGTAGAAGACACTATTTTAAGAGCTGTTGTGCATAAAACTTAAATGTGAACAACTTAATAAGATTGAAACTTAAGAAACTGCTTGCATCGGATAAAATTATCAGTGATTCCTGTGTAAGATATACAGTCAGATTTCTAATTGTTAATCACAACGCGTAACTCCACATTCGTTATAGAAACAATAATAAAAATCAGTATATAAGGTCACCTGAATATATGGAATAACAGGAATAGGTAATTAAAATTTTAGAAGAGGGTCCCACTGTTCACTTCTAGCAACCAAGTGACCATGCTAACAAAATCCCATTCATTTTCCTTTTATTTGTACTAACGTTTCGTCTTGTGGATAGTGATAGGAACTTTGGAGTAGACTGGCTAGTCAGACAGCTAAAGGGGTTTATAACCTATGTATCGTAATAGAAATCCAGTATAATGTTTATTTATTTGAAATGTAGATTATATTACCTGTGACATCAACTGAATGCTTACTTACGGTAATTTGATTGATGTTAACGGTGGCAGCTGAGCGATAAATATAATGGAATAGTTAAATTATTTTGTCGTCTGCGATAATACTTCAGATACAATATACAAGATAATCAACTGTATAGTATGACTGGGGACCCTAGACCACGATGCTAGATAATCAAAACACTAGACTAGATGGTATAGAAATATTCCCTATCCATGACCAGCAATTGTAAATCAGCTAACAGATCAGAACTACAATTTATTGGGATGAAATACGCATCAGTCACAATGTTAAATCCGAATATAATGGAAGTATAATTCTTTTTCATATACAATAAGTCTATTTGCTTAGTACTCGTCTGCCTTTACTTAATATCCAATCAAATCTTACTTTTACTAGGGAAACATCAAAATACTGATTCATCATTGAGAATGTTGGTGTGGAATCCCAAAATGTTTATTCAAATGAGCTATAGATTTGTTTTACAATTTGACTGAGTCAGTCGTTCCTTTTAATTTGACTAACTATTAGTCAACTATGCCAAAAAATAATCATTTTAACCAATACCTAATGTTTAATGCAACAGGGCATACATAGGATACTGAAGAATCATGAAGAGATGACGCAACTCAGTGGCTTAAGATATTATCAGAAATAGGTTAGGACGAAATCTAATGGCGATCTTGCTATAGTTCTCTATTACACTCTTCGAAGAAGTAAATCTTCCCCCTAACTGGGATTTATCCCTGCTCATTTTTTCCAAGAACTGAATTGCTTTTTATGATTTTTTCTTATTCTGACCATATCCACCCTATATCTATCACTTCACAACCTCATTCCCTTGTTTGTGTGGCGTATATCTATTCTGGTGCTCATTTGTACCAGTGTTTAGATTAATCATACGGTAGATAGAACCAATCGTTTCGAGTGGTCAATCGCACAACTTAGGTTTCCCCCAATGGGGCTTGATCCCGTCTACATTTGACAAAAGCTGTAGGCATTCGAATCTACTACCCTAGTTTATGTGTCAGAAGAAATTCGTGACACTCCTGCTCCTTTCTTGGGTTGGTTTGACTTCGTAAATAATTTTAATAATGCTTTGTCCAGATCTTGTACTTGCTTCTCGTTAGTCACCTTTCGTTTGTATTCTTCATTATCTGATTATTTACAATTTTTATTACATGATCTCAATAACTCTTGTGTAGTTATTATTTTAAGATCTATTTAACCAAGTCTGATCTACTTCCTATTTTCAACCATTGGTTAGAAGCTTTATTATTCTAGTCACTACTGGTACACCTGTCTTTTAACCATCATCAACCTGTACTTTTCATCGATTAGGATAATTACATGGTCTATTTCATTATGATCATTAACTTAAAATTGTTTTGATCTGATTTCCTCATATACCCTTATAGATATCCATGTATATTGGAGTAACGCCTGATGACGATCTAAATGCGAACAATATTATTCACTTAAATGTGTTGTCCGAATTAAAATAAATGAATATAGAGAGTGGAACGTTATTCAATAGCAATAGTCTATTAATTAATATCTATTAAAAAAGTAACCAACTAAATGCTATTTCATCATTGGGTTAGAATTACAATTTGTACACAGTATGTTGTTGAATACGTTCTGTTTTGATGGATAATTTAGTCGGAACAAATAACGAGGCGTAGTAAAATAGATTATCTGTACGCACTTTATCAGTGTTTAAAAAAAAAAATGATGTATAAAGTTGTTCACTTTCGCCAAAACGATGCATCAAGGGAGAGTTTCTGTAACATTGTATCAAACCATCTTTTAATTGCTGACATTGGTACAAGAGGATCAGATGTTGAATTATCACGTGCAAAACTAGCAACATAATTAAATAAACTTTCAGCTGCGAATCGAGTGAACTGAGTCATCTTATCAGCAGAAACTGATGATTCAGGAGTGATTTCTTCTGTTTGTTGTGGCAGATTTGTTAAAAGATCAACAGAAATTCCAATTTGAGCAGGTACGACTCCATTTGAACATTGAAAAGAGGCATTAGTGCCAAATGGGTGTATAACATTTTGAAGCTGTGCATCTTCAAAAGTAAATAAAAATTAGAACTTCAATTTTACTAGAACGAAACTAGTTAACCGTTAAAAATTACTAACAACTAATCACTGCATAAAATGTGATTAAAGTCACTCACTATCACTTTGTAAAAGTTTCTGCAGATTGAAAAAAAATTTACAGATTCAAGTATGTGCAAGCCCATTAATACAGAGGTGTGGAGCACGTAAAATTGATATGTCGAATTTGATGACTGGTTGGTATCATGTAATACCAAAAAATTAAATCACCCTTATCCAAGTGTTACCATTTGATCATTCTTTTTACTTTACATATCAAACATACTTGCCGATTATAGCTCTTGTTGATTGAACTGAAGATTGCATTTATTGATGATAAACCATAGATTCTGGAGCGATTGATATCACTGCAAGAAATACCTGGTGAGATTTTGATTCTGTTGAAGCTTTTCTATTCGAAGATAAAATTAAATACTGTTTATCGACTTTTCCAATTATAAAATTGAAACAATCATAAAAATGTTTTCGAAGGTAATACTTTTTTGTTTTAGATTATTGATGATTGTTTTATCTGTTAATCCGTTTAAAGACGTTACGAACAGAAAAGTCCTTTTAGCCAACAATTTTTAATGTAGTTCATACAATATCTTCAACGATAAGCAACGCAGGATACTAAGAAACTAAACCAAAAAGCGTTGACAGACATTACTCTAAGGTTACCATAAAGCTTCTTCACTTAGTGTACATGAAAGTATCGTAGATACGGTGAAATTGGAAAATATTAGTAAACAAGTGTCTTCTTGAGAAAAAAAACTAGAAGGATTTTGGGAGGAAAAACGTATTCGCCATATGCAGAAGTAATATAACATGAGAATCCTAAAGTGACTTGCTACAGCAAGAGAAAAATTCACAGCATGTCGTCCCTTGGTCCAGCAATACTAACAAGGTTGGGATAATGGGGGAATTATTTACTGTCTTAGACTTATGGTGACCTACACAGAACTTACCGATTTTCTCATGTCTTCATACTAGGTCAGCAAATTGTTCTGCAACGAGCTTGACAGCTGCTTGCACATCTGGATAAGATAGTTTGTTCAACGTATCGAAGACAGTGTGGCAATAATGTTTGCTTGTATACGTATCCTTGTGATATGCCTGCCCATTAATTTATCTGTGATCGTATTAGATTAACCTACTGATCTATTAATAAAAGCATGCGCGTGCTTTAAAAAAAGCCAGTGCTTTCGTACTTGTTGTGAATTAACTTTGCTTTTAGGTATTTATTGCACCAAAAGCATGCTTGGTCTACTTTGACTTAAATTATTTCGGTTAAGATTTAAAATTATCTTCAAATCAATCTTGTGGTACTTTTTTAGTTGACTCTCACATTAGTGATTATCTTGTGTACTTTTTGTCGTTCCTTGAAAGATATTGGGCTGCAGTGAAAGATAGAAATATTTCGGTAGATGTAATTTTCATAGATCTAAGCAGAGCCTTTGGCAACGTCACCTGAGTCCCAAATTAAAACTGGAAAGCTTTGAAACCCATTATGAAATCGCAAACTGGACAAACGGCTTTCTCAATGACATGAGTATCTGTAAATGGGTCTCTATCAGCGTGGAGACCTGTACAAGGTCGGATTTGGAATATGGGATTCAAGCAGCGAGTCCTCGTTCTGAGTAAGAGGCGGATATGTTAGAACGAATTCAAGAGTTCGGATTCATTTTAGTACAACGTAGATTAGACCTGTCTATTGTAATACTCGATTTAATTAATTACAGTACAACTGCTCGATATTCTATTGCGTAATATACATTAATACAATTCCAAGTCGATATAAACTTAATACTATTACTATTTCAGTTCAGTTATCCACTAGATTATACTGTACTTTGAATCCGATTATTACTACTGTTCGTGTTAGATAATTCTACTGCTTAAAGATATATTCAGAAACGTTCTTATTGGAGCCCTTGTTTAATTTACTCGTCGTCTGTCACAGAGTCAGGGATAATGAACATGATAACTTAAAGTCGACCCTTTGGAGATTGTTCAAGGAATTTATCTGACACAACGAATCTGTGGCTATATTGATTGTGCAAGAAATATGCAACATATCTGAAGTAAACTGAGTGATGTAGTCTAGTAGTTGAGATTCTCAAGGAACAACCTTTCGCACTTCAATAGCTTTCAACACTCAGTCATCAATTATGTCCAAATTTGCTATTTTCGAGATATTTGTTTGGTTATACTATAATTTATTTAAGACCAGAAACCTAGTCAGATGTAATACTTTAATGACTAATTTGTCAAATTTATTCAATGAGGATTCTTGAGGATACTATTCTCCACACTGTTCGCAAATGTACATCACATGAATCGTATATAGTACTTTAACGAAATCTAAGTGAAATTATTAGGGCTCCGTCAACTAACTGGTTTACATAATTGACGCGCATTTAATGATAAGTAAATAGACTTTGATATTCGTTGGAATGAGCTATAAAGCCAAGTTACATTGCGCTACAATGTGAAAAATCCAACTCTAATCGGTATTCCAGGCAAATGAAATGAAAGACCAAAAAGGAACACCTTGACATGTTTTTACCACATGACGCCTGTTACCAACTTAGAAATAAAAGTATCAAGACAACACAAGGCCAAACTACTTCCAGCACTGATGAAAGCCAAAAGTCATGGAACAAAATACAAGAGAAGGAATGAAACTAACTTTAGCAAGTTTGCCAACTTTATATATCGCGCTAGGCTTCTCGTTCGTTAGACACCAAGAAAGTGCCAGTTAGGGACCCCATTTTGCTGAATCCCCAGATAAACTAGAAAGAAACTACTGCAAAAATCATATCGTCTTACCCCCGCCACCCATATTTGGCGGAAAGACAGTTTCTCCTGTTAGAAACACAACAATATGATTTACATCATTTAAGGGTAGCAAATCCAGAAGAAACTGAGACTCTGATATTCTATTAAAACTTGTTTGTACCTAAACTTTGATGTGAATGAAAATTGAACGCACTGGTCTTCCAGCTACCAATACTGCAAACATTACGACTAGTAAAACATAAATGGTTCAGATGGTTATGGACGGAATAGAAGCTTTCGCTGAACGGACTTCCGTATCTAGTAGCTGTGGATCACCAATACCTCCAGGCAGGAACCTATGTATATTAAAGATAAAATAGGAAAAAGAAATTGGTAAGCCATAGGAAGATACTATCCTTAGTCCTTAAGAATATGTCAAGTTTTCTCTTGAAAGACTCCTGGTAAGTCGTTTGGACTAGCTCAATCGGCAGCGACTTCCAGCATTTGATTACTATTAAAGAATAGAAATTGTGTCTACAGTCCGTTTTGCTGTGTTGTGTCTACAGGTTCTGGGTACTATCCCTTGAGTTTGTGTTGGAGCTAAACTTAAGCAGGTGTTTAAAAGAATGCCCAGTAGTGTTTAAAATGCTGTAAGCCATTAGAAGGGTAAGGGTTTAGTGATTGGACCCACTCTTCATAAGGCTTGAATTTGAGTCCCCGAACTGATTTCATGGATTGCCGTTGGATACGTTCCACAGGGTCGTTATCCCTTCGTAGTGGGGAGGAAATACTATGTTTCCGTACTCTAAATGGTGACTAATGAAAGATTATATTGAAAACGTTTCCGTCAAACTGGCTAAAAAGCGCTTCAATTTGACTAATGCAAGGCACTTTTGTCACATGTGACGCTAACTGCAGTTGGCGTAAGACTGCAAATCGTAATGTGTCAGCTATCCTAAATCTTTTGGGATACTTCTAGAGGGGAGTCGCTTAAGTTGAAGCTGTAGTCTGAAACATGTCTCAGATGGACTACTTTACACACTGAAGTGTTAAAGGTAAGTTCGTTATCGTCTGCCCAACCTTGAAGTCGAGTCAGATCCTCCTGAAATGTCTGCATACTCTATTGGTTGCATATCTTTCTCCAAAGTTTCACATCATCAGCAAAAAGTAATATGTCTGACGATACCTGTCGCGGAAGATCGTTTTTAAAAATCAAGGGAAATAGTAGCGCAGAAGTCCGTACAGTGAGCGCTTTAAGTCCAATAATCTTGGAACTGGAAATCGCAAACAAGATAGTTTCTTTTCATTCGCTTCTTGATTTATCAACACTATTTTAGATCACTGGCGGTGTCCAGTGTGGGTACTTTTAGCACATATTCCAGATATGACAATATACATTGTTACGAATGATGTACAAGAAAATGATTAACTCAGTAAGACGAGGTGTATGTTGATGAGTAAGGCAAATCAATAAAAAATAACTCTTACAAAAAATGTTATGTTAAATAACAAGTGATAAATGTTATGAAACAAATATTTCGGAGATAACAACCGAAAATGAATCACTTCAGTCTTCAGTAATAAGGATAGGAGGTCTATCGACGTATATTAATCCTTGCAGTTTGTAATACTGTGGAGGTCCAATGTCGTTTTGAATATGTTAACAGAAGGTTCTGATATTACGTGTTCCGGTAGGGAATTCCAGTAATTCACTACTCGGTGCGAGAAACGGAACTCCAGACGTAAACGATTTGATCTCGGTTAACAAAGATCCCTCTTCCGCCACGATCCAGTGGCGTCGTCCGCTGATGGAGGTTTCTGAGTACTTGACGTGCTGTAAGACAAGTCTTCAATGATATTATGTTATCGCGATGATATACTAGTTGGGACAATTTTGAGACCTGTCTGAAAAAAGTATATAAGGTGATAAGACCTCTGTATTTAATAATTGTTTGTAGATTATCCGCACATCCAGTATGGTGTGCGGATAGTTAAGACGGACTTCTTTTGCAACTGGTTTTTGTTATTAAATCTCATAATTGGATCTTTGTAGTTGTTGGTACTATATAAAGTCCACATAGGTTATTCTAGCTTCTGAATAGATCAGCTAATTCATTCTTTTTAAGCCACAATTGAGCTAGTTGGTTAAACGCTAATTAACCCGAACTGTTTTCGTAAGGTCGCATATGCATTAATTGCTTACCCCATTCATTGAGGGTTGTTAACTTATTTTTACCCGGATATGATTGATCGACAAACGTGTGAGGTAGAAAACCAGGTTCATCGATAGGGAAACATATGATTGAAACGGGGCACAAAATTGACATTAATACACCTTTTCGAATGCTGTGTAGAAATTGTCAAGTACGAATTCTCAAGTTTATTGAAGCCTTGGCTATTCTGAAATCTAAACTCCTCTTATGTGTACAAAAACAATTTGTCGTAATCCTGAATTTACCTTGGTAATCCTTAAGTCATTGTATGGCCTAGGATAACGCGACAATTTCTTATTATTTCTATATGATGTAAAGTTGTTTCTCTCCTCTTTGTCACTTTTAACTTGAACTTTCATTTAACTGACCTTATTAGTTTTCATATAAAATGTCCCGACAAGTATATACGTAACCAGATTGTTCGAAATGTATGGCGCAAATACATCACATTTTTCAGACCCACCTCTCATTGTTCCACCCAAAGGTATAAATAGCGAGCCAAGCCTGGCTGAGCTGAGTTCGCTCACTCGCTTCCTCTCACGTGTTGCGGTTCGTTTATCTTCTTTTCGACGTCATCTTTTGTCCCGTTTCATCTCGCTTTTCTTTCTTCGTTTCTCTCCGACTGTCTGTCTGTGAGAAGTATACGAAAAATATCCGAAGTTTATTCTCGCATTTGACTTATTTTACCCCGTTTTTCTCTAAGGTATGTGTCGTGTTTTCTGCATTGATGATTCCTTTATACTTGATGTCTGCTTAATTTAGAATTCCAGCTGCAATATGTTCGTTCGTACTCGTCTGGTACTTCTTGGTTAAAATGTGCTATTTCCGGGATTCCCAGTTTGTACTATAACTCAAATATTCTTAATCATCAAAGAATATCTAGCCAATAATTATGTACAAGGGTAGTCAGAATGTATATTTCGATAGCAGTCATTGTAAGATCCAAAGTATGGTTTGGACTTCTGAATAGCCTTCCAGGTACGTTAGACACGCGCACTTCCCCGTTGAAATCAAAACAAGTAATCGGGTAAATAGCGGTTCTATAATTCATCAAAAATTTAAATGTAAATCGTTACCTAAACAAATATTACCGGCCGGCTATTCAACCAATAATTGTTCAATCAATAAAATCTAAATTACAATAAATAAAGTAGTTGATGAAAGATGAGGGAAAATTACCAGTCACAACAAATGAACGTTATTCTATCCTGACTGGATAGAACACACAAAAGGAGGAGCAAATCAATATGGCTACCGCCAAGAACAAGTGTCAAGTAAAACAACACAGATGCAGTTCGGGAAGAAACACAAATTTAGTGAATGTGTAAGAAAAACAAAAACTATAATAAAAAAATACAAGTATTAACAATTCAAATGTAATCAAAAGACAACAATGCACAACTAAGTGGATCAATAGGAACAAAGTGCAGGTATATACATAGAGGGATTTTCACAAACACACAAAACATTCAAAATCGATCTTACAGTCATCCTACTGTCTGAATGGAGTCAGATAACGGCACCACAATAATGCCATGTTAGTATGTGAAAAGAAGGAAGATGACCCAACTTGAAAGTACTTTTTCGTCAGGTATGTTCGTATATGCAGACGCAGTGCATCAGACTCAGATGCTGGTTTTCAGGATGTAGATGATGATGGCGGTCAACATTCTTTGGAAGAGCATGCACCTTCTAACTCTCCACTACAAATTAAACAAAGGAGACGACGTTGATCATTTACTTGGAAGGAATTCATCCTTGGGATCCAAATATTGTCACTTCCATCATGGGCTTTAGGTCTATGCAATATGTGGTGAACTAAAAGCCAACCAAGCACAGCCATCCTTGCATATAAGGATGTGTTTCTGTAGGTCTTTCAAGACGGTAGTTGTCGTCGAGTGAAAGTTTTTATTTAAAACAATTTCTGTTGAGTAATAATCCAACGTGTAGCTTTCGACATCTGGTGTCTTAGGAGTTGCACAGGCAGCTTACCAAGAACGATATTGCCAAACTGAGGAAACAGCTGTACCCAAGTTGTTGAACGCACTTTCTAGTTAACTGAGTTTCGACTTGTAAATATCAACGAAATTTTCCAACGCATCTAGCCAAACGCAGCAGTAAAATTATTCCAAGGAAATGGGAACATATCTGTGGTTTGCAACTACCTTGATTTACTTGTGATTATATAAAAACAACTACGACCTGTCTTTGATAATCAGTCTCATTCCATACCTAATTAGAATGTCATCCGTCCGTCAATACACTTGGCAAATTTTAATTAAAAAATCATGCATATCAGTGAGTTTTCCGAGTCGTAGTTTATAATAGTACATACCTCTGTTACTGGTTATTTTTACAAGAGTATCATCAATCTAAGACCTGAAGTTCCATGCAGTAAGTAATAACAGCGAGAAGTTTTTTAGTCCGTGGTGAAATTTCCACATAACTGCACCTTTCGCAAGTAAATCTGCTTTGTTACGTGAAATATAAAGAGTTGGTTGCCTGTATATATAACCAGAGAAGCTAATATTCACAGTTCAGTAGGTGTTGCTATCAATTGAAGCAGATGTATAACATTTTCAACCGCGGAGAAAGCTACCATCTTCAATATCAATCTGTTTCTAGCATAATCGTAAAAAAAGGTGAAAATCGGCTGAAATCACAGCAAGGAAGACAAAATCATAAACAAAACTATATAATATCAACGTTGCTTGTTTCGGTTCTGATGGCCGTTATGAAAATATTGTTTCTATGGTTATATATGCACTAATCGTGTTATATCATATAAAAACACGTCATAAGTCGAATTTAATTGTATGGATAAGTTGGAATAAATGTTTGCCTAAGATGCAGTTAAAAAACTGTTCTAACAACACCTGAATAATGAATTTTTATAATGCCATCTTTATAATGCCATACACCGCAAGATAAAAATACGGCTGATTACCCAGTTTCAAATCAGAAAACTGTTTTGAAAATTTGTTCAGAATTAGCTTTTAATTTGAACATCAGACAAAGTACAAAATAAGGAAGAGGCCCAAAAATATGTCGCTATGTGACAGTTCGTTGCCTTCCCTTGCACATTGTGGCACCAACGGCGTTACGAAAAAGACAAATCCGATAGTTTTATTCAACGCAGTGTGACCTAAAAGAATGTTATAACGCTATTGTAATGTTTCGTCACGAACTGTGGCCATTAAAGAAGTAGAACTGACGACAGTGATAGCGTTTATTTTTTTAACAGCGGTAGTGGGTATTATTACAGCCAAAAAATAACGTTCGGTTTTTACAGTTGATACGGAGTAACACTAATATCGTATGTAAACATGATTACATATACTGTCATAAATTAGGAAATGTGGTCTTTACTTCGTCGTAACAAAAAACACTGAATGTTAATGTACACAATCAACTGTGAGTTGATATATTTTAAGTTCTTCAAGTGAATTTATCAACGGGCTGGAGCCAGCGAGTGCCAAGTTATCGGGCAGACAATCATTCATCTTTAATATAACAACTTTTAAGTTAGAACGTAGACAAACGGAGAAAATACAAAGGGTTAAGAAGCGAAGACAAATTAGTCATACAAACAAATAATAGGGGAGAAACGTTAGAACAGGCAGACAAATTCGGGTGATTGTCAGTAGAATGTGTAGGACAGTTTGGTGTTATAAGTGAAGGGAAAGTGATGTGTTTCAATAACAATAACGATAGATGTGTTGCAAGACATGCATCGAGCTTTAAAGTTTTTTGTTAAAAACATCCCGTTTTATTGAGTACAATTAGTTGGTGTTTCAGGAAAAAACCATTGACAGTAATTGTAAGCACGGTTTTCGAGCCATCATCTGAAGTCATCAGCTAAGTACTCTGAAGTTAAGTTGGTTAAAATAGCAATTCAGAATAAAACTACTCGTAAGGAGAAAAATAGCGACCTTCACAGGGTTTGATAGTAGACCTCAAGTGATGCATTTTGGTTAGTTGATTTAAAATGCATTCTGAGTTATAGATCATTGTCAGTTCTCTTGCTCTCCTTATGTATTATTGCAAAAATAGAACTAGCTGTTGAAGTCTATCATCATAAACCTAGTTTTTAACCCCATTACTCATTTTTTGCTAGTCTCCGATCTTATTGAAAGAGCTTTTTATCCCTCCCGAGCAGAAATGGTGAAATGAAAAAAATATTTTTCGAGATAAAAACACATGTTCATTTTGGAATGAATTCGAAACACTTGTAAAATGACAGTATCAAGCTATCTTCACATAAAATAGCATTATAAATGTTTGACTACTCCACCAACATAGTCTCCATTGGTGTCTAAGCGTTCCGTGCATACTGTGCCTAGATTCCTTTCAGTGGGGATGACTGATAAGAAATTATTCCCATGGGATCCAACTTGGTCGAGTAGAACGGGATCGGATGTTCATAATGTGTAATTTGAGCATAATTTTAATCCATAGTTTTTCTTTCATTTCTCCAGGTTCATTATAAACGACGATCAGTGCTGTTCAATCTCCACGGGTCTCCAGATTATGATGATGCCAGCGTAAATTAACCGCTCTCCTACCTAAGAGATTGTCCGTTGAAGTCAAAGGCAGAAGCGGTCTCAGTATGATTTTTTAATTCCATATACTGATAACCCCAGACTCCTAGTAATAAACTTCCGTTCTTCATGTAATTTCCGAACCGAAAGAGAAGTTGGTTGGTGAAGTCCATCTTTGTAATATTTCTCATCGGGAATATATGAAGCTCACCGTCGAATGTTTTAGCAAGTTAAAAAAATATTGCGTTTACTGTCACTAAAGTCTCAGAAGTAAACCTAGGCTGAGGATTGGTGTTTGAGATAATGTAACGTCTAAACTAGGACACATACTGTCTCACTCTGATATATCAAGAGAAGTGGCTTGATTATAGGTATGACCCTAGAAAACTGGAGGCTAGTGAACACCGCACCGTTTTTACATGGATGCTAGAGCGAATATAACATCGATTGATACGTTAAGCCTACACAGCTTATTCTAGCTTTCGGATAGACCAGTTTTTTCATTCATCTCGAGTCACATTTTGACCTTACTCATTGTTCGCTTATCAGCCTTGTCTGTTTTTTTATGTACACGTACGAATGTCTATTACCTATCTTACTCATCACGTGTCTGTAACTTATTTTTGTTCCACTATAAATATCGACCCACACTTGATTAAACGAGTCGGCTCATTCGCTCTCTCTATCGCTCATCATTTCGCTTGGCTTCCTTCTCTTCGCTTCGATCTTTTTTCTGGACCAACGGTTGTGTGAAATATACGTATTCAAAATCCGTTATCGTATTTTGGCTTTTTTAATCCCATTATTCACCAACACGAGTTAAGTCGATGATTATATACGTGGATAAGCGAGATGTATATTTCAATAACAATCATTCATGTGATTCAAGTGGAGTGATACCGGGCCACTAAAGAACCTCTAGTAACCTAGGGTGATTGGTTATGTGTCGGCCAAAATCATCTGAGCAATGTCAAAGTATTGTGGCTCTAGTATTTATCTACTTTCTTATTTTGTGAACGCGCAACACTTCCTATTATTTTATATTAAATGTTGAGAACAGTCTGTACTTGAAAGGATGGCCTCACTTTCCAACAGTTCCGTTCCACGACTTAAATACGGATCTGCTCGACCATTGGTTTTAGTTCTTCCGAAGACAAGAGGAGTGATACCTACCGTTACGATAAATCTTCAAGGTACCGGCTAGTAGCATTTGTTCTATATCTCCGAAAGTTATGCAACATTTAGTATACGACGGTCTACCTCAACAACACAGTTTCGGGAAAAGCTGTCCGAGAAGATACAATCTGCTGAATGCAGGGCATAAATGTACAACTCTCCCTTGTCGTAAGGAGAAGAATACTGTGATAAACCTTGGTGTCTAAAGGTTTTTTGTAAGGTCATTTATACCTGTCTCGTAAATAGGCTCGAACTGTTAAATAGTGAGTCACTGATAACAGGCTCATATGATTCACGTAGAAAAAATTGACCTCTCAAGATAAGAATATACGACGTTTTCTCAAACTGAGTAATTTCGAGAGAGAGTCCCCAGGGTTCAGTACCATAGCCTCTGTGTTTATTTAACGAAAATGACCTTCGTCAGTCAATGCAATCTGAGGTACAAAATTTCGTGCAGAATGTGAACATCGAGGGGGGGGGTAACCAAGATGATAAGCCGATAATTCGGGAGATCTGACTATAGTTCAAAGTTAGACAGATAACGGTAGACTTACTTTCGACACTTGAAAGTGTGAGACGGTTCATCTGAGACGGTGAAGATTACACAAAACGTAAGTAACTCCCATATAATGTTACCCCAAGCCGAAAAAGACCTAGGAGTATTGATTAAACTTTGCCTTGGGTGTTATAAGGCCTTCGTTAATAAAAGTCATGACGCCCCAAGGTGGAAGCCGAGTTCCTTCGGCAGTCACGAGGCTGATGCCACCTACTTCAACCAGAGCAACCACTAAAAGATACAACCTCGAAGTGCTTGGGATCAGTGAAGCTCATTTGATGAAAGTTGAACAACAACAACTAACTTCAGGAGAGCTTCTATTATACTCCAGTCATGAAGAAGAAAATGCTCCACATACACAAGGAGGTGCATTGATGCTATCAAAACAAGTGCAAAATGCACTTGTAGGATGGGAATCTCATGGACCACGGATCATCAAAGCCCCCTTCAAATCAAAGAAAGAGAGCATTACAATGAACGTCATCGAATGCTATGCGCCCACCAACGACCACAATGAAGACGCTAAAGATCAGTTCTACTATAGGCTGCAATCAACCGTCGAGAAATGCTCATCAAAGGACTTGACCATTCTGATAGGAGATTTAAATGCCAAGGTTGGAATAGACGACGCCGAATAGGAAGACATCATGGGACGACATAGACTAAGAGAAAGGATCGAAATTGGTGGGAGTTTTGCAGATCTACGTGCCCTCAACAAATTGGTCATAGGCGGCACCATATTCCCACAAAAACGTATACACAAAGCCACATGGACGTCACCGGATCACACTACGCAAAACCAAATCGACCATATCTGTATCAACAAAAAGTTCAGGAGGACGATGGGGAATATGAGAACCAAGAGAGGAGCTGATATAGCATCAGATCATCACTTGCTGGTCACCAAGATGAAATTAAAACTCAAGAAGCACTGGACAACGGGGCGGACAATATCACAAAAGTTCAATACGGCTTTTCTTCGGGATACTGACAAACTCAACAAATTCAAGATAGTCCTCAGCAACAGGTTCCAGGCCTTTCATGATCTACTCAGTGGAGAAGGAACTACTATAGAGAGAAACTGGAAGGGGGTCAAAGAAGCAATCACTTAAACATGTCATGAGGTTCTGGGCCACAAGAAGCACCATCACAAGGAATGGATCATTGTTGAAACAATGGATAAGATTCAAGAAAGGAGGAATAAGGAGGCAGCAATCAATACCAGCCGAACAAGGGCAGAAAAAGCCAAGGCACGAGCTGAATACACAGAAGTAAACAAATAAGTGAAGAGGAGCATAAGAACCGACAAACGTAAATATGTGGAAGATCTAGCAATGACGGCAGAAAAGGCTTCAAGAGACGGCAACATGAGAAAACTGTATGACACTACAAAGAAACTCTCTGAAAATCGCCGCAAGGCAGAACGACCAGTGAAAAGCAAGGAAGGCGAGGTAATCACCAACATTGAAGAGCAACAAAACAGGTGAACAGAACACTTCAAAGAACTCTTGAATCGACCAGCTCCACTGAACCCACCCAATATCGAAGCAGCACCCACGGACCTCCCAATCAATGTTTTGGCACACCAACAATTGAAGAAATCAGCATGACCATCAGAGAAATCAAGAGTGGCAAAGCAGAAGGACCGGACAACATCACAGCAGAGGCACTAAAAGCAGACGTAGCGGCAACTGCAAGGATACTGCACATTCCCTCCAATAAGATTTGGGATGAGGAACAAGTACCAAAAGACTGGAAAGAAGGACTTCTGATCAAAATACCGAAGAAAGGCGATCTCAGCAAGTGTGATAATTAAAGGGCATCAATCTTCTCTCAATACCAAGAAAAAGTCTTCAACAGGGTATTGTTTAACAGTATGAAGAACTCTGTAGACGTTCAGCTTCGAAACCAACAGGCTGGATTCCGCAAGAATCGATCGTGTACAGATCGAATTGCGACACTACGGATCATTGTGGAACAATCAATCAAATGGGGTCCGCCACTGTACATCAACTTCCTTGACTACGATAAGGCGTTTGATAGCGTGGACAGAACAACACTATGGAAGCTTCTTTGACACTACGGCGTGCCTGAGAACATAGCCGATATCAAGAGGAATTTCTCCTGAGAATTCAACTGCGAAATCGTGCATGGAGGACAATTGACAGACTCGTTCGAGGTGAAGACCGGTGTCAGGCAAGGTTTCTTACTCTCACCGTTTCTCTTTCTCCTGGTGATCGACTGGATCATGAAGACGTCAACATCTGGGTGAAAGCATGGGATACGCTGGACATCGAAGATGCAGTTGGACGACCTAGACTTCGCTGATGATCTGACCCTTCCATCGCACACGCAACAACAATTGCAAAAAAAGATGACCAGTGTAGCAGCAGCCTCAGCAGCAGGATGTCTCAACATAGACTAAGTGAAAGGCAAGATTTTCTGATGCAAAACAGCATGCATCATCGAATCGCATCTGACGGAGAAGCTTTGGAGGATGTAAAAACCTTTACATATCCAGGCAGCATATATATACTGAAGCTTGTTAAGCGAAAGCCCCTTCTATTTCCTTTCCAATCATTTGAAACATTTTTGAAAATATTAGTCTCTGCAAATCACACAACAGTCACATGCTTGCTGGTGATTAGAAGTGCAAGACCTTTAGGACTACCAAAAAGATTTGTGGTGGTTCCCAAACAAAAAGGAGCTTACACAAAATATATTGATACACTAGGTTATTAATGATATATCAAGAAAATTAATGGTAAAGAAACCTAGATGTCTGTCCGTTAGTAAAAACAAAGGTAATAAAATACCGTTAGCATTACAAAAGGTATATTAAACAAACAGACGCTAACAGTTACTATAGAATGAATGTTACTTGTTAACTGCCTCGTGAGAACAACGACCACAAACTGAGTTCACTTGATTGACAGGTGTTCCTCTGCAAGTGACTGCATCAATGACGTAATGAGGAAGACGGAGTCCAATAGTATTATACAATAGTAATCCGCGCCAAAAGTCTAACGTTGAGTCGGAAGGCTTATAATGACGTTATAATACTATTACAGTCTTCAATCAAAACGGTGGCCAATAAAACAGAAGAACAAACGGCGTAGATAGTGTTTTATATTTTAAACAACGCGGTAGTAAAATCGTATATCATTCATCGAAACAATTATCATCGTCTTTTTAACAAGTGATGCAGCAAAACAACAGAGATTGAATAAAAATGTGGTTACAACTAAAGTGTGACAAATTAGAGAAAAAATGTGGTTTCTATTTTTGTTGTTACAAAAATCACTGAATATATTTCACCATAGATTTCACTGACTGTTGATACTCCAGGTTGCT